CCCCAAAACCCCAAAACCCCAAGGAGCAGTCATATAGATAATTGGTAAATTATTGTAATCATATATGTAATTGTCTGGTATGTGGTATATCGTAGATAAAAAGATTTGAGATATCTTAATAGGATCTTCGCTCTCAGATTAAATAATATTTAAAAAAATTCAAATAACCTAATCGTACTCATATCTTATGGTCGATCATCATCACGCAATACCCGAACTCTCAGAAAGAGAGAGGTGCATCGTTGAAAACCCAGGTGGCTTCTGCACAGAGATCTAAACAACTAATGATGTAAGTAGTTAAATTTGAAGCTGAATCTGTTTTTAGTTATTTAACTCTGTGATGGCTGCATCAAACTATCTGAAAAAAAGATTGAACACTGAAAGAGTAGACGTTGGTGTTATTTTTGGCAGTGGGCATTTAAGTCTTGCTTATGAAGTTGAGAATCCTTAAATTGTGAAATATATCGAGATACCATTCTTCCCAGTATCTACTAATCTAGGTCATGGAAGAGAGCTGGTCTATGGTCAGCTGCATGGCAGAAATGTGATCTTGTTCACTGGAAGGATACACATATTTGAGGGATACAGAAATTACTACCTTACATTCATGGGTTAGCTGTGCGCATTCTTAGGCTGTTAACTGCTGATATCTACTAATAGTTGTGGAGGAATTAGCAATTAACTTAATGTTGGAGATTTTGTCATAATGTCTGATGGATTAAACTGCAGCTATCTTCCATTTTTAAATGGTAATATCCCTCTATTAAACCTTTTAGCTAATATTTATGATAAGAAATTTTCTCTGAAGCAACATGAAAACTACTTCAAATCAGGTTCATTTGTATACACTCCTGAGTTGATAGAATTCGCTAGACAGTGTGGAAAGGAAGTTGGACTTGAACTAATGGATGGATGCTACAGCGTATGGCCTCTACCTAACTTTGAAACAGCTGCTGAAATCTAATTTACTAAAGAAATAGGATCTCTTGTTTCAGGAGCAAGCACCGTTCCAGAATAGATGGCTGCAACAATGCTAGGAGTTAAGTGTCTAGGATTCGCTGCAGTAACCAACCCAGCCACTGGTACCACAGATGGAAGTTGGGTTCACGACGGGGAACATAACCTTATTGCTGCAAAGAAATGCCTTCAGGGCCTAAGAAAGACCATTTGGAAAGTTATTGAAAAATTCGAATTTGACTAAGAGCATAGATTTACTCATAATCATTTAGACTAGAGTTTCCTTTAACTTGCGAAAGTGCCAAAATAACTAGATAAGGAATAAGTTATAAATGGGCTAATGGCCAAGATATAAAGCTACAAAGTAGGCCATCCCAACATTGATAGAGTACTCTGGTTTATGAGCGAAAGTCTTTATAATCAATATATGTCTCAAAATATTAAATAAGTTAAAGATCTTTATTTCATAAATCTAAACTCTGTCTAACCATTCAGAACTAGATCATGTAAGCTAATAGCTTCTTTGCTTAATAATTTTAGTTAATGAAGGATAACTTGTGCTAGCCGAATTAAATAATGAACAAGTACTTATAATCAGGCAGCCTTATGTAGAAGGAATGCTTCCATATGAATATCACCTGATATTAGAGCTACTATAAGCTTTGCACATCACTAAAATAAATACATTCATAGAAACCCTAAGTGTTAAGGATAGTTCTTTTGATAGCTAAGTTAGTGAAGTTGGCACCTATTTTAACAAGAGATTCTATAAATTTACTGATGAAAATCTCGATCATCTCGAAGATATTCCTTATCAATAAATCAACAATCTACATTAAGTTACCCTCTTTGGGTTTGAAGGTCCTATGTATCCAACAAAGACTGAACTAAACTAAGCTATATTAACAGATTTTGACGTTTATACAATTACAAACATCAGTTTTATGGATTTGGCTTTAAACATGGGTTTTGACTCTAAAACTTTTGCTTGTACTAACGACTAATCAGATTAAAAGGTTCTTTAAAATTCACTTGACTAAATTTATTCTCAAACACTACAAAATTAAAGTAGAGTACATGAGAAAAGTCATTATATGAAGAAAAGGGTGAGTCCTATTTTTGACTTTGAAATCAACGTCGTTGTAAGTATATTATAAATTATTTAATCTTGCTCATAGCATGATTGGACTTCAATAAATGAAGCTGCCTTGTGTTTAAGAGAGATGATTGGTACACATGATGATGTCATAGTCTTTGACCATGAAATTACTTCAGTATTCAAAGAGTCATCCTATTAAATTCAGAAGAAAGTCATGCTAAATTTACTCGACTTTGGTGACAAATAAGTCGAAGTACTTCTAGTAAAAACTCCTGAAGGTAAAAGTGTTGTCATCATCACTGACACTATGACTTACTAATCTCATGTACCATATTAGTCAATCATATTGCCAATGAGAGTAAGGTTAATTGATTTAATTTCATATTTAGGTCGTCATATTGGGAACTGAGGCAAAGAATTTCATAGTCTGTCCTAAAGTCTGGATGCTAAAAGATAAATAGACAACTGGGTCTCTTTACGTAGTTAATGATCATGCATGTCTGAATGCTCATTCTCCAGGTATTGGAGTAAATTTGAATGAGTAATATAAATTAGATTAAACTTTTACTAGATATGGAGCAAGATTCTACGATTGTTCCTCAACCTATGATAAAGATATAACTCAAACTCTAAAAGAATAAGTTAAATAATCAGGATAGAGTTATCAAGATGGCGCTGTATTTTGGATAAACAATACCTCTATACCATCTCAAGCATTTGAATAATTAGCTATTGGCTTATCAAATCAGAAAGTTGAATTCAATGCGATGGTAAAATCTGGAGTGAGTGAGCTTTTAGCTGTTCAACATAGAAAAACAAAGGAAAGTAGATTCAAGTTGAGATCTGGAATGATAGGATTAGTAACAGATTCAGTTATAAGATCTCAAAAACTAAATGATTCATTCAATCTAGGGTGCAAAACTCTCTTTGGTGTCCTTTTCAATACTCTCAAAGAAATATCCAGAGAAAGATAGTGATTAGTTATTTTTTCATATCAAATTTCCCTTTCAATCTTTAAATCAGGGGTTTTGGGGTTTTGGGGTCTTATAACTG